CTATAGGATCACTCTGAGTCAGAACTGACTTGACGGTCATGGGTTTGATTTTATATATATTTGAGGTGAGGGGTGTTTATTTCATTTTGTCCATAAGAACGTGGCTGTCTGCTGACAGATGGGCTGCTCAAACCTTTCAGCTACCCTGTGGAAGAAAAATGTGGCCGTCTGCTTCTGTGGAAACGGTTGTCTTGGAAACCCTGTGAAGCAATTCTCCTACAGGATCACTCTGAGTCAGAACTGACTTGACGGTCATGGGTTTGATTTTATATATATTTGAGGTGAGGGGTGTTTGTTTCATTTTGTCCATACTTTCAAGATTTAGTGCAAGGCTCTCAAATTTTAAATCTCAGGATTTAATTCTACACTTTAAAAACACTCCTTCCTCTTCCACTTCACCCCATAGCACTCTGACGGATAGCGTTGAAACTGGAAGGAAGAAGCAGTTGTAGAATGAGGAATGCTAAAAGAGAGGCTTTGAAGAAATCGATGTTTTCTTCCATTGGGGTTTTCTGGGTGAGTTGAGATGTCCAGCAGACAAGTAAGTGTCCAGTTGTGACATTTAGGAATGGGGTACAGCACATCGGGGTGTCACAAGCTTGTAAGTGAGAAATGGATGGATTTTTCTAGAGAGAAGAGAAACTGTGAAGAGTATACACAGCGGCCTTGTTCGCCTCGCAAGGACTTTTTGTGTTTTCATCAGCAAGGGTAACGAGCCATAGGTCTTGACCCGGAGAGAAGAGGCAACACCCCTGGCCCTGCTTGTGGAGCCACGCCCTGGCCGTGCCTCGTCCTTTTCAATGTGATCTCTCACCCCCGGCTGCATTTCCCAGTTTGCTGACAGCAGATACCAACAGCTACCTTGCCAGGCTGTCTACAAAGACTGGTACAAATGGTATTACTAGTCTACCCAATAACTGGTTTTTAATCCTTTGATCACAATTCAAAACTCCTAAAAGTATTGTGCATTTGTTATAAGTTTGTATTTGGCACTCAGCCCCCATCTGAACCAACATAAAGCGAGTTATAGCATTTGTAAAATCCTGCTCAGTGAGACTCGTTACATGCTTCATAACAGACCTATGAGCATATTGTTTAAGTGGTTGGTCAAAATCACATGGAAAAAGGTGATTTAATAAATAGTCTCGGCATTCTACTGGTTCTAACATGCAGAAATATTTGAATTCCAAAATATGACTGTGCTCAAGTGTTCAAATTAAAGAACTATGAGGCTGAATTATTTTTATTCTCCAGAGATTTCATTTTAAAACATTTTACCTGTTGGGAAGATTAAGTATCAAGGGAGCAGATGGCCATTGGGCCTCTACTCAAGTCCTCCCTCAACTCAAGAACACTTTGTTCTAATAACCTGGCACTCTGTGATGCTCTCCTTCCAACACAATCACTGAAGACAAACTGGGTGCATAAGCAAATGTGGTGAACAAAGTTCATGGTGCCTGGCTATTAGACTACATAGTGTCTAGGGTCCTAAAGGTTTGAAGTTAAACAAGCAGCCATCTAGCAGGGAAGCCACAATGTCCACATGGAAAAAGAACACCAGCCTGTGTGATCACCAGGTGTCAACAGGATCAGGTGTCAGGTATCAGAGACCCAAAACAACCAATCATATCAAAGCAAATGAGGGGGGTCAGAGTGGAGACCCAAAAGCTCATCTGTAAACAATTGGACATCACCTCATAGAAGGGTCACTGAGTCAGCCAGGGTTCAGTATAGCACTGACAAAACACACAACACTCTTCTAGTTCTTTAATGCTTCCTACCCCCCTTCTATCTTACACACCCAGCTAGGCCAGACCATGTCCACTGGTTCAGATAAGAGCTCGCAACACATGGAGTCCAGGACAAATGAACCCTCAGGAACAGTGATGGAAATAGCGATACCATGAGGGGAAGGGGAAGGTAGGGGAGAATGGGGAAACTGATCACAATGCTCAACGTATGCCCCCTCTTCCCCCACAATGACCAACAATGGAAACATGACTGAAGAGAGACAGCAGATGGTGTAAAATGCAAATGTGGTAGTCACCTAACCTGGTGTCAATTAAGAGTGTAAGGGTGGAGTCTAGACTGTCAATCTGGAGATAACCAATGAGACTTCTGTGTG